AGTCTGAGTTTGTGACTTCCTGTTACTTACAATGGCAGTAAAAACAAGTCTGATCCTGATATTTCAATTGTCCCGAGTTTCACCTGTAATTTTATTGATTGTGTTGGACTTGTACCTCTATTCTGTTCTGATATTTTGCAGCAATATACATTTTTGCTGATTTGTCATAGTAAAAACCAGTGAAGAACAGTGAAGGCTGCACAAGCATATTTTTTAAAACAGAAGGTATTTTACAAAAGATTATACCAGACTCGCAATAATCCATATGTGGTTTGATATTGAGAAAACATCAGGGAACTAACTATTTACCACATCCTGGGAAATCTCAACACACAATTCAACAACAGTAGCAGAAGAGCACAAGCAACTAACTATAATAACTTTAAAATTATTCTTAAAACAGTAAAGAACCCAAAGCCACTTTTCTATTATACAATATATACATGTTTGGCAGTGGGGCACACCTCCCTGTTGGCAGTGCTTGTACTGTGTTAACCATGGCAGAAAGAAAAACATAAGTAGGGGGAGCAGCCGCAGAGCTATGCAGACAATGTGCAATGATTTTCTGTCATGAATTAAACATGTCCAATGTAAAATTCACCAGACTCGAAAGTGACACAACAAAACCGCGTCACTGCTCGTCGACTCCGTCAGTGTCACATTTGGGTATTCCCCTGAACGACACCTATACCTCCCATTCTTTATTTAGCAACGTCTCAATTTACGCCCGAAAAAGTAGGTTCTGATTCGTTGATTTTGAAGCTGGGGGAGTATTTTACAGTTCTTCTCATTGATTTTTTTAAGGTATAGAAAGCAATGTAGACTTAGACACAAAACTCAGTTAAATCATTTTCAATTTTGTTTGAAATAAATAAATAAGTGTTTTCCCAGTTTGATCACTTCCAGATTCATAATTCCACTTTCTGCTTTGTAGACGATGACATCACACTTGTTACCAGATGTGATCAAGCAACCATGTCATGAATCGGGCTAAATCAGGCCACTCAGAGATGATTACGAGTCGAATTTTAAGAACATGTGTTTATTTAGCTCAGTGAATCATTAAAGCATCATAACAATTAGCTGCGTCTTTCTTAAGTTAAGTACAGTCTGTCCAGAGAGTGATGTCACCGGTTTCAGAACTCTGCTATACTTCCTATAAATCTCTATATATTTTCCCCATTCCCTTTAATAGAACTTTGACATTACTTAAAAACACAAACAACATTCAACCAAAATAGATCAAAAATAAAAATAATTAATGTTATATGATAAAAAAAATCATAATGTTAGAATAATAATAAAAAAACGTCAAATGCGTAGCTATTGTAGCGTTTAAAATTGTAATGTCTGGAATATTTTTTAGTAGATTGTAGAAACATTAGGAATGCGGTGTTGGAGGATGCATGCTTTAAACTCCATATATACAGAATACAGTTACAAAAGTTTTAATGCTATTCATCCAAACCATTTACATCACCATGGATTTTTTTCAAACATTATGTAGCATTGACTCCATAGCATATTTCCCCAAACTTATAATGACTAAACTTTTTTCCTTGTTATTGAGTTGGCAGAATTAATTGGATTTTAAGAGGAACTTATGAAGGAAATGATTGTGAATGAAAAGTCAACCTGCCCGTGGACAGACTATGCGGCTGGCGACGTGCCTGCTTGATGTCTTTCAAAGCTGCTGCGGTACTTTTTTGAAATCGCTGGATCTTTTCCCATTATAGAATCAGGTCATTTAGGATTTAATTGAATCTCAGCGGGATGCCTCTTGCATAATCAGGCGTAGCTGTTTGCTAGCACAAACAGTAACTTGGTGCAAAGGCAAAGGATCAAAGCGCATCGCCAACTATTTCCCACCAATCCTGAGGAAAGACTGTTTGTTTTGCCCCCAGTCGTTTCCTAACGAAACCACACTTCCTGGTGTTGTTCAGCCTGCGAGAAGGGCAAAGAGTGAAGCATGATGGGAAAGCGCGTGTTGAATGTGCTTGACATGTGATCTCCAGAGGATATGTTGTTTATAGACTAATTGTTTTGATGGATGTTCAATTGTTGCCTCAAGTTAATTACATTGACTGCCTTTCCACAAATAACAATGAAAGTCGCCATTGTTAAAGCTGGGGTGCGTAACTCTTTTTCTTAGAAATTACTGTAGTAGGGCTCTATGAGTAAACACACAGCCAGTTGATCAAATAGTTGACAAAAATTATGAATCTGACCTAAACTGCACAAGACAGAGGGTTCTTTAGGTATAGAAACTAAGACAAATAACAATAATAAGCATTAACGTGGGAATTGTGTGTTAGATCTGGCTTGTTTATCAAAGTAAATATCAAAAATATTCAGCTAATTTGCTCAATGGTTTCTTATAGTTGTAATTCTCCCATTGAAATCCTTGTAATGTCATTTTATAATTGGAAATAATGCAAGGTTGTTGAAATATTTCATTTGTCCTTGTGATATTAGACTGAAAGGAAAACTTCTGATGCAATATGTGCAAGTCTGACAAAGCTCTACTTTATTTGTACTCTTAGAAACACATAAATCCTCATCCGTCAGCTAATAGAGAACTTCCCGTGAACTAAACCTGTCTGAGTGAGTGAAAATCCTGTTATACTACCCTACAATTACCCAGAGTGGCGTGAGCAGCATGCAAACCCTCTGACTAACTAACATTGTATTTTGTTTTTTTATGGGCGGTCCCTTTGAAGAGAGTGAGTGAACCGCAGGCACCTAGCCAAATGTCCTGGAGAGATGGGTGAGGCGGGCCCTGGTATACGTGACTAAACAACAACCACTCGCTTCCTCTTTCCAACGTCACACAGACTTGCACAAACATATCCTGCTTTATGTCTGCCGGTTACAGACGCATTGCCTCACCCACACCACCCCAGGCCACAGGAGAGAAAGAGAGAGAAAGAGAGAGAGAGAAAGAGAGAGGGAGGGAGAGAGAGAGAGCTGGCTGCAATCAGTTGGAATGAAACCAGAAAATCAACAAGAGACACTCCTAGTTTTAGTGTTTTGGTAAACGCAAAAGCTACTATCTCAATAATGTGTGGTTTTATTGCATACTTTGGTGATAGCGGCATGTATTCTGGCCTTGTATTAAAGTTCAGGTACCTAAATTTTCCTCCCAAAAATAACACATTTGTAAAAGTAAAATCTTGCAGTTGTTTATGGCATACAGTACATACTCACTACTTGGAGCTGAGAGCTGATTGGCTGAGCAAGAGTGGCACTTTTCTGTCTGATAAAGCTTATCTAAGTAAAAATACATGCATGAGGATGGAACCAGACAATTTTATTAGATGGATTTGTTCACGTTGTGTCATGTTGTTGTTTGAAAGTTAGGTACAGCAGCTTTAACGTATTGGGACATGGTCAAAAAATAACATTACCCATTTGGTGGCTGTGTGGCTGCCATATAAGAAGAAAAAAGAACTCCCATTACAGTCACGGCTTTGTTCTGTCTTTGTTTATATCTTCGGACACGCATGCCGTCACTGCCTTCAAACTGGTTGAGCACTTTTCACTATGTACTGTTATGGAAGTTTTTATGATGGTTTGGAAATGAGTGAGTGATTCTTCCTCTATGTCAGAGCACAAAGGGGACAGCAGTAAATCTTAACACTCTTACTCAGGCACTCCCCTTATCGCTATATTGGTTTAATACTCAACAAAACGTGTTCCAATAGCTGATTCATTGCGCTGTAATTTGATTAAGTGGTGCCAGATTTGGATGACTGGCTTTGAAGCAGCAGCAGCAGCAGCAGCAGCAGTGCACAAGAATAAAAAGTGGGCAGAGCTATACTAGTCATGCTGCTGCTGTAACCTCGATCCATTCAAGTTTACAACACTGGGCTGGAAATCCCCACCTCATGACAAGGCTTCCTGGTTACTGGCTAATGTAATAGCGTTCTTGCTTTTTTTTTTGGTATATATATAAACGAGCATTCAGCGCCACGGCTATAGGAAAATTACATGCAATCAAGTCTGTCGCCTTTTTCCACTGTATAATAATGGAAAATAAAAGCAGAGCGGTGGAAAACTGGCCATGTTTTCTTTTGTCAAATCTAATCCAAGACATCCACATGTTTATTTTGCACACGTAGTCGTTTCTATTGTGTAACATAACAATAAACGCCACGCGCATTAAAAAAAAATAAAAAATCCAAGTCTGAATCGCTGGCATTTCGAGGTAAACAGCGAATCCTCATTCATTGCACGGCAGTAGTAGTAGCAGCAGCTCGATGCGTAGAGGCGCTGTGTGCATTGACAAAAACATTGCAGCCCCAGCTCTGACAGCGCTAAACCCGGATCAGGATTGAGGACAATGCTTCGTACGTGCAGACAGAGGCTTGAGAGCGCGTCGCATCCAAAGCAACATTACGCACAAAACCTGCCTCTTTTTTTGGCATCGTGTTCTCGGGGTTTCTGCTAAATCTCCGCGTTGATCCGGAGAAGGCTGACACAGGCTGGTGTTGTGGAGGGCTTGTTGTCCCTTTTCGCTGTGGCCAGAACGCGCTACGTGGAGGAGGAAGGCGATAGGCGAACGGGATATGTTTGGGAAGCGGTTCAAGTGATTAAATTATAAAAGCGAAGGAGCCGTCAGTGACATAGCCTGCAGTAGAGCGAAGGGAAAGGCGGAGAGGAGGGGGTCTGTCGAAGAAATCAAGTCAATAGAAACTCAAGTGGAAGCAGGCTGCGTTCATACAGGCGCTGACGTCACTGCTCCACATTGAGGCAGTAGTAGCGACTGAGCGGAGAGAGACACACCGCGCCATAGTAAAGTACGCACCGACATGAACTTCTCTCTCCGCGCTCCAACTTCGCCCCTGTTTCCATAAAAGTCTAGGGAGGACGCCTTTTCCCTTTCTTCTTCAGCGCACGGAACTTGCTCTTTCGTTTTCAGGGGGATCTGGGAGAACTAGACACATTTTGGGGTTTATTTTGTTGACGCGGAGCTCGACTCGACGACGCAGAGGAGAGCCATGTCGTCCGCGGCGGTCGCTGCTTCCTCCCGGAGGCAGTCGTGCTACCTGTGCGACCTGCCCCGCATGCCGTGGGCCATGATTTGGGATTTTACCGAGCCCGTATGCAGAGGATGTGTCAACTACGAAGGAGCAGACCGCATTGAGTTTGTTATAGAGACAGCCAGGCAGCTCAAGAGGGCTCATGGCATTCAGGAGGGCAGGTCTCCGGGGCCAGGGAAGAAGGACTTCCAGGCAATGAACCACGCAGCAGCGGGAGACCCGGGCTCCAGACCCCCACAGCCACTAGACCGATACCCTCTGTCCTCGGAGCGGCCACCCAGGCTGGGGCCAGAGTACCAGTCCCGGGGACAGGCCAACGGCATCACGGTCCACAATGGATTCCCTAAACCGGACGAGCCTCCAGAGTTGAACCGCCAAAGCCCCAACCCCCGCAGGGGCAACGGCGCGGTGCCCCCAAACCTGGTGCCTTTGGTAAATGGGGGCCCGGGACCGCAGGTGCACAGTGTGAACGGCAGACCGATGGGACTGAGCTCCGCTCTGGCGTCTGGGAACCCCGCAGACATGGGCAAGAGACCCGCGTCAGTGTCCAGCACTGAGCATGACAAGGACAAGCACCACCGGCCAGACAGCCTGACCCCAGACATCAGCGACAGTCACAAGAACCGCGCAGAGCAGGAGTGGATGGCCAAAGGCAAAACCGTGAGGGACCTGATGGCGCTGCACACTTTCGACAGATTCAAGAAGGACCATGCGGTCATGCAACAAAGACCGATGGTGTACGAGTCTAGTGCCACCGCCTCTAAATCAGGTAAAGACACACATAGACAGTGCACACTTATTTTTGTAGTGTTTGTAGTGACTATTTTAAAGCATAACGTTTAAAATGACATAAATGTCAATAATGTTTAAATTTGACTAATAAGTCAAAACATGACACCTCAAAAATGTAGAAAGTATGTTTATTTGCTGAATATAGTTGTACATACAGAAGTGTGTTCCTTCAGGAACAGAATGTGGTCTGGTATTATGTGTGCACAGTGGAGTGCTGCCTGTGTGTAACTCAGTTGTTTAACCCTTTCCCGCCCCAGACAGAGGAAAACACCCCCGCAGCGTGAAGCGAAAGGCGTCTCCGGAGCCCGAGGGAGAGGGCACGGCTGCCAAGATGAACGGAGATGCACAGCCCTGGTTACCACCTCCCTCCGATGGACACAAAATGCCCCCAGTGCCCCCTCCAAACTTCGCCTCTGCAGCCTCCACGATATCCCCACAGTCCCGCACCACCCCTCCTGAAGCAGCCCAGAACGGCCAGTCCCCCATGGCGGCTCTCATCATGGCCGCAGATAACGCCGGGGGCAACACTTCACCGAAAGACGCAAACCAGGTGCACTCAACAACCCGCAGGAACAGCAGCAGCCCGCTCTCCCCCTCCTCCATGAACCAGAGGCGGCTGGCCCAGAGGGAGGGCTCGGGTGCCGGGACCCCTCATGTCCCGGGCATGGACCAGGTGCACCCCCAGAGCATTCCGGACTCGTCTGTACCCGGCAGCATACCCCTGTGCTGTACCTTGTGCCACGAGCGCTTAGAGGACACACATTTTGTTCAGTGCCCCTCTGTCCCCTCTCACAAGTTCTGCTTCCCGTGCTCCAGGGAAAGCATAAAGCAGCAAGGTGCCACAGGCGAGGTGTACTGTCCCAGCGGGGAGAAGTGTCCACTGGTGGGCTCTAACGTACCCTGGGCTTTCATGCAGGGGGAAATCGCCACCATCCTGGCAGGAGATGTCAAAGTAAAAAAGGAGCGGGACCCTTGATTTTGTCTTTGAACACTTTTCTTTTCGGGGCGGGGGAATTAAAAATATGAGTATAAATATATAAATATCACATACATACCATTCAAACAAACTAACGGACTTGTACATATTGGACCCAAGGGAAGAGTATACTTCGTAAACATGGTTGTATAATTTTTGATTTTTGAATACATTGTGTTTCTATATTTTTGAAGATAAAGGTATGTACTCATTATAATGGACTACGTTCCTCTGTTGATGTTTAACAAAAATTCTTGATGTACTTCTAGGTCTGGTGGCAGTTCCTGTTTAACGTAGAATGTGACTAATGCTACTCTACGAGCACTTGGCAAAAACTGAAATGCTTTTAGCTGTACTTGTATGCACTTGTTTAAAAATTGCCAAATACAATTTCTGATCTTCTATGAACATAACCGTCTGGGCTTGCTTCATTTTGAGTGATTTTAAGTCCCCACTTCATAATATCTCCCTGACAGCTTTGTGTTGTGGCTTGGTTTACGGTGCACAGGGAGAGAACTAGGCTACTGTTTCAGGACTGCACCACTTATGGAAAAAGCATGCAGGGGTGCGTTGCTAATGTGCACAATGACGGCCTTTCTCTCGATCGGGGTTAGTAGTTATAGCACACAGCGGTCCATACTTTTGCCTCTGCACACTGTAATTGATTGCACTAGAAATAGGTGCCAAGTCATGTTCGTGGAGCTAGAATCTGTTGAGTCAGGGCTATGTGGGAAAGTGCGTGATTGTCCAAATGAAATAGGCGTCTTTGTGTACAACTTAAGCTGGATTTTTCACATCACACATTTTTGACCTATTTTTGCATTTGCTGGTGCTTTCGGTTTTCTCGAGCTTTTGTGAGCAGTCAAAAGAGAACAATATGCAAATGGGTGAAATTGTAGGTACTTTCTGGCTCTATTTTTAAACCCTATACTTATGATTTTTGGTTTTTGCTGCAGAGGAGACATTATACAGCTGCTGTTTTTGGTGCACCGTTTAATGAATGAACAAAGCTTTTTTGCCCATTCACTGCTGTTGCCCAATTCAAACTGAAATGGAAATTTGTCTGTTTCTTTTTGAAGGCAACTCCCTTGAAAACATAGAATCAGTCCGAACTATTTCCCCATGACTTAATGAGACTTTTTACACAATCCAATCCCGTGCTTTTCCAGTCCTAAAGCTTATTGTGTGGAGCTAGATTACCTCCTTCCCTATAGTGGACTAATTAACAAATTGATTTGCAATGTGGAATGAATACAAGCCCTTAGCTCCACACATACAGCAACAGAAATAATTGTATAATGCCTCCCACAATGGAAACCACTCTAATGTACACCATTATCAAAGAGAATGTTGCACTGGAATATTTTTGGATACACTTCATAGTAAACAAGCATTCACAGCATGGTATTTATTGTCCCTCTCGTTTAATACCTAGCAAACTATATTATCATCACATTATATAGACAATTAAGAAATGCAGGTTTCATCAAGCTATTTAGTTTTATCACAGATTGATCTTTTATCGCTCCAAAAAGCACTGATTTCACAATATTCAAACTGAATGTAAACAAGCCCCCTTCCCCTTTCGCGCCTAAATGAAAAGTGCAGTTGTATAACAGCGAGCAGGCTATAAACAGCATCAAATACTACTCTGTAAAACCTCATGCTATATTTAAATGATGCAATGAATATAGAACAGCATCCGAATGGTGGTTTGAGGACTTTTCATGTTAGTTTTTGTCACAGTCTGCCGATTAGCAATTGCGGCGTGCTTTCTTGAGGTCACGTCACATGCAGGGAGCAGATGTTTGCTTGGCTTCATGGTAAACAAGGCTGTTGTTAGTGTCCGATAGGCAATCTGTAAATCTATTCTCGTGCTTTTCCATTTAGAGCGCATCAATAAAACCAGTCCCTATATTGGCAACGTCCCGCTCGACTAACTTTACAAGCGATGAGCAGCTAGATAGTGGTTGTAAAATGGGAAACTGCAGCGTGCAATGTGTTTTGATTCAGACAAAGACGTTCTCTCCCTCTCTCTCTCTCTGTCTCTCTCTCGCTGCACCAAACGGACACACTGGCAGTTTTCGAGTAGAGTGCATGGGGGAAGTTGGTGGAGTAGGAGGTTGCGTAATTATATTTGAGACATTATCTGCTTCCTGTAATTGTTTGAGAGAGTAGTGGCGTTTTTTTTTTTTTCTTCAATAACAAGCAAATGAGTTAGCTGGAACATGCAGTTATACACTTAGTCAAAAGTAAAGTGCATTTCTTTAGAAGCTGTTTTGAGTCCAAGTATTATGCCATACATGCACATACACTGAGAAACCTTTTGATTTGGTTTCATTCTTTACTTCAACGTTACAACTAGATTTTTGTGGATTGTCTTTGATCCAATATTCCAACACATGCATAAACCAGCAATATATCTTGTTTACTATTCACCCAAACGTCTGTATACGGTAGGGGTATATGAACTCAAAACATTGCAGTGCGATTGACGTACGGAAATACATGTGTTCTTCCACAAATCCCCATTCATGTCTCAATAAGCACAAAGCTTAACTTCTTTCCAATGACGCAACAAGAAAATTTTCTATGAATTTTAATATTTACCTTGACTGTTTGTTTGATTTGCCGTTAAATGTTATCAGTCATTATCAGTTGGACTTTAAAGCCAGACGCACAGCCAAGTTTGATAAAAAGGCAACACGCAGCGAGCACAACACACCCACTGTCTGTTATGACTTATTACATAGTGTTCCTCTGCAATTATTATCTGACACTTTTGACCTAGTTGTTCTTTCTGATTAAGGCAGGGCACTACAGAGGAATTGCAGATACTGTGACATATTTAGAAACGAGATACATCATAGTCCAGTGAGTAATATGCAAAGTAGATTTGTAAAGAGACTTGCTTTGATTGTGTATAGATGGACGTTGATAACCTTCTAGCTCAATGGCTCCTATTGACTTCCATTGAAAAGTGTACCTCACTAGCTTACTAACTACCGCACTCACTCTTTTGGGCTTTACAAATTAATGGTTTAGCACTCTGCGATTCTGATGTTTTTATTGTGATGTTGTCTTTGTAAATCCAGATACGTGCCCTAACAACTGACCAATCAGGAGCCTTTTGTTGTCGAATTTGGCTTTAGCTTTAGCGAGACTGGACACACTATGGGTCACTTTAGAACTGGGAATGTCCACTTCTAATATACAGTCTACGCTCATATATATACATACAGTTTTCGACACCAGGTTCCAGCATTTTCTTATATGGAAAACAAAATAACTGGTTCTAAAATGATAAACCGGTCCCTGAAACCAGCACCTACACCAGCTTGATGGATAAAGGGTATTATTTTAATTCAGCTGCATATAGATACTAAAAGATGTGCCTGGTAACACTGCTGCAGAGCGCTACCTGTTTGTTGAGCGGGGTCTAAAATAGCGATAACATGTCCCTCGCTGCGGCTCTTGTCACAACACAACGCTCCACTGTTGCGTAGCTACCAGGCAAATCAGACCAATACAGCAGATGCCACGGTGCCGTCTTTCCATTCATATTCACGGGGCTTAAGAGCGAGAAGCCGCGTAAACAAGACTGAACCCAGGCAAGCGGGTGCACACTTTAATGTATTCATGGGTTTGGGAGCAAATATTGTTTTGTAGGAAAGCAGGAGCAAAGGTGTTTTTTAAACACAGTACATTGTGGTTAATGAGTCACAGCCGTTCTGAGAAACAGAAGGGATTTTCAATGTTTAAGGTTCTCCTGTTTGGCAAAGGTGACTTAACTAACATAGGTCTGACGTCAGCATAATAATATTGAAGTAAGTCCTAAATGTTGGTATATACTTGTATAAAACTATAATGCATACAGGTGAAAGTCAGTCAATTTACTAAAATCTATATGATATGATATGAATCTGTCAAATATGAATATATACAGATTCATTACACATGGAGTGAGATATGTGAAGCCTTTCTGTTATAATGTTGATATTTCGCTCACAGCTGTCAAAAACCCCACATAAAACATCTCAGAAAGTTTATAAAGTATATTTGAAAATGTACGTTAAAATCATTAATATCAACATCAATTATACAGGCCTGTCAATAGTAACTTTGCATGTCTACGGTATATCATATATTGATTTCACATTTAGGTTGAAATACACATATAAACTGACTTTTGAATGATATTATTTTAGTTTCACATGTGCACCATACAACTGCTTAGAGCTTGCCTATGCTACACAAATCAGGGTCAAATACTTCCTTATATAATTTCCGGTTAGAATGACAACTATTTCCGTCGACACTTTTCCGTCAGACCTACATCTTTTGCCGCTACAAACAGGTCAAAAATTAAAGGGTAAAACGGACTTCTTTCATAACGCGCTTTGGAGTCCACTTATCTATTTGACTTTGAAGTTCCGCCTGCCCTGAAACTATCCAATATTCGGAGACACCTGTCATCTTTAGTCCAGGTGAAAATGACACCGCCTCGAGATTAGCTTCCTTCCTGTCTCTTTATGATACAATCTTTTCATCCCACTCTGCACGTCCTTTTAACTCCAACGCTTGAGCAAATTTGAAGATTAGAATCAAACTATTTGATGTTGTAGAGAAAAAAAAGCGTGGAAATACTCTTTGACTGAGCTTCCATCACGACCCATGGGCAAATCAATGGTCGTAAACTTCCCTATTGACTCAAACGGTGATTTAGTGCACTGCTTAATCTAGCTAAGTGTGTACGGCAATAGGTGAAGTGGTGATTTAAACATTAACCAACCTGGAGTCTGCTTGCGTTTGTTCATTGTAACAGTTATTGTCGTAGTAAAGATGTAAGCGGCCGGTGCAGAGTACAAGTTTGTTATCTCCGGAGAAAATAGGCCTTACGTTTGTCTATGCGGCAATCAAGCAGCACTGATAAGCTCTTTTATTGAGTTGCGTGTGTTTCCATATTAAATTCTTCCTAAATGAATGAGCAAATTTCAGTTTAAGGTAAATATTGCGTTCTGTTGGTACCATCCCAGCATTTCTTTCATTCACTCTCATTCACGATTGGTATGGATGCAATTCTGGCTATACAAGAAGGAATTTCATTATCAAAAATAAGACAGCACCAATTCACGAAAGCCATGAAATCCTTGACAAGCCCAAAATATGACCAGTAAAACCATAAACCAGTGCCAGCGTGTGCGCATGTTTGCCGGGAAAGCCTTTCGTTAAAATGGGAGTACACCTCTGCAGCTCTTTCACTAATGAATCTATGTTTAGTCCAATAAATCAAAAAGTCCTCTTCTTT